ACTTTGCCTAGTGCACCTAGCAGTTCTTTGTATATGTCCATCAGTAGTCATAGCCGTCAGTGTTTTCTGCTTACAATCAAATTCATAGGTCACTGTCTTCTTCTGAATAAGATGCTAAATGGATGCCAAATCTATCTGTGATCAATCTCATTTGGTCTTTAGAAGTTCAGGGAGTTTTCATAGTGTCCTGGACATCATTTATTCTTCAACCAACACAATTGAAAACAAGTTATCTGGCATTAGATTAATTGCTGTTTGTGAGATTTTCACATCAAATAATATAACTATATTTTAACAATAAATCAATTGCTGAGAAGCACTGAAATATGAAAGATGCAATTTGATATGTTTAGAATGCAATGGTCAAGCTTAAAATGAAAGGTACAATAATTGAAACATTAAAATGAGTAAACTTTTACCTAAAAACTTAATCCTGCAATTAGTTCAACATTTCAAATGTTGGCAAAAAAAACAAGTGAGCTTCATCTTTCCTAAGTTGAAAGTTCCTCCCACTCATTTAGTTCTGAACGAGTAAAGATCTGAACAGCTCGCGATTGAGCACAGAGTGGAATAGCACAATTACTTCAAATGCTTGCATGTTGTTATCCTGTTCCCAAGGGTCTGGTAGAAATTGGAAACTGTTCAACACATCTTTTTTAAAGCAAGCCAGTGCCACTTCTAGTGACTGAGCTTTGAGAGTGTTTATAATTCTCTTTCATGTATTGTTTTCATGTAAAGATAGTCAACATGAGTCAATAGTAAAATGCGATTATAAATTACTCACAAACTTAAAACAAAAATAGAGAAAGCAAACAGCACTGAAATGGCTGAAAGAACTTTGCCCTGTTCTTTAGACCACACTACTTGAAACATGAAGGCACGAATTTGAAACAAAATTTCTGAGTAAATACTTGAATTTCATCCAGTTTGGATAGCTTCTGATATGCATTGCCTCATTTACGTGAAGAACGTTGCAACAATTCCACTAGCTCTTTCCTTCACTAGTTTTGTGGCTGCACTGTTATATACATACTTGTTACCTCTGACAGGATTCACAACAATAAAGAAACTCAGAATTTGGGCTATGCTTGACTGGGCAGACATTTATTGCTCATCCCTATTTTCCCTTGAGAATGTAGTGGTGAACTGCTTTCTTGAAGTCAGCAATCCATTTAATGTAATAACTGTAGCTGTTAAAAAGGTGGGGGACAGGCGGAAAGGTTAAGGATTTTGACCCAGCAAGAGTGAAAGGACGGTAATATATATTACCGAGTCAAAATGTTGAATGGCTTGCAAGGGAACTGGCAGATGATGATGGAGCAAATTACTGCAGATGCGAGAATCTGAACTGAAAACGTAAAATGCTGGAAATCACAATGGGTCAGGCAGCATCCATGGAGAGAAACCAAGCTAATGTTTTGAGCCTAGACTCTTCAGAGCAGAAGTGAAGTGTGGAGAGGGCAGCATTTATAAACTGTTTGGTGGTTGGGGGGAGGGGTGGGTGCGGTTGTAGTGTTTGGGAGAAACAATTCCGATCACTTAATCCAAATTATCAGCATCTTTTCTCCCCCAGCACTCCAACTCACCCCTTACTATTGCATAAATGCTGCTGCCTCCACACTTCATTTCAGCTCTGATGAAGAGTCGTCGAGACTCGAAACGTTGACGTGCTTTCTCTGCATGGATATTGCCTGACTGTCTGTGATATCTAGCAGACGATGGTTTTCCCATGTATCTGCTGCCCTTGTCCTCTGGTGTTGGTCATGGATTTCGAAGGTCCTGCCTAAGGAACCATTTGATTGGCACAACATCCACGATTATCCACCCCTTCCACCACTGGTGTTAAGTAGCAACAGTATGTACTGTCTATAAGATACACTGCAGAAATTCACAAAATCTATTTACACATCACTTTCCAAGCCCAAGACTACTACCTCCGAGAAGGACAAAGACAGCAAACACGTGGGAACACCACTACCTGCAACTACTTTGTCAAGGTATTGGCATCCAGATCTCATGTATATTTGCTGTTCCTTCAGTGTCCCCTGGTCAAAATCCTGGCACTCCCTGCCAAAAAGCAGGACATTGTGGGCATACCTAAACCAAATGGTCTGCTGCAGTTGAAGAAGGCAGCTTATCACCACCTTTTCAAGAGCATTTAAGGATACTCTGTAAATGTTGGCCTAGCCAGCAAAGTCCATATCCCCTGAATGAATGAAAAAAATTAAACTAGTTATAAAAGGAGATATTAGAACTGATGACCAAATGCTTAGTCAAGAAGATAGATTTAGGGTGTAAATTCAAAGGAGGAAAGAGAAGTTGATAAGTTCAGGAGGTATTATTAGAGTTTAGGGCCTAGGTAACTGAAGGCACAGTTACCAATTGTGGCATTATTAAATTCAGGAATGAACAAGAGGCAGAATAAGAGGAAGTTAAAGAGAGGAGGAGGAACAAAATCATGGAGAAATTTGAAAACAAGCATGAGAATTTGAACAGGAGCGAATGTAACCAATGTCTGATTTGGTGAACAGGACTTGGTGCAAATTAGGATATGTTTAGCGTAGTTTTGGATGATCTCACAAATATGAATTTTGGAAGATAGGAGTCTAATCAGGCAGGAATAAAATTGTTAGAGAATAGAGAAGTAACAAGGAATGGCTGATGATTTCAGCAACACATGAGCTGAGATGGGGTAGATTTGGATAGTGGTATAGAGATTGAAGCACTCAGCCTTTGTCGTGGCATGAATGTGCGGTCAGAAGTTTAAATATGACAGTAGTATTGTAGACAACCACGGTGAGGGATAGACTTGGAAGCTATGGAAAGAACTTGAGGGGACCAAAGATAGAGTTTTAATTTCTGAAGCTAAGTGTGGAGTTGAGCAGAAAAGCAGGAGGCATTTCCACTTGTGGGTGGGGCAAGTCATCCCCTGCAATCCTAATGCTATAATATTTACGAGCAGGTACCTGAAAAATTCTTATGGTGTGTGCACAGCAATTTCTGTCCCCTATTTGGACCTTCCAGGCTCCAGCTTTTGGGCGCCACATTTAAAAGGCATCTGAAATTCCATTCTATGCATCAGAACCTCTGCTCGTCGCCCCCACTAATCCCTAGAGATGTCAGAGACAGGTAGAAAGCGGCGATACTTTAGCAGTGCCTCTTCAGAATTTGCCGTAAAGACTATTGAGGAGAAAAGGGAAGTTCTTTCTTTATGGGTGACAACAAGAGTCAACTTTGACAGAGGTGGCTGCAGAAGTCAGAATATCTTAAGGGAACCATGCTCCCATGTCATAATGGGTCTTCTGCTGTATTAAGATAAGTACCACTGTCTTGTTGCCAATGTAGAGGACTGTCACACACAGGTTTGGATGGGAGGTATCTCACCCAGATATTCATCGTTGTCTGTCACTTCTTTGCACCAACCATGCGTAACATTACTGACACCAGAGTGGTGGTGCTGTGCAACCACACATTCGACAGGGCTTACACTTCAAACAGCAAAGGAGGTGCAAAATTCAACAGTTCATGTATAACCAGCTCCTACATATCTGATAAACTTTCACCAGAGGGATGCATAGTCAAAGACACAAACATAATAAATTCTTTTTGTGTTAAGCCCCCTTTTGTGTTGAGCCCTACATGTCTGCCCTGGTCAGGTTTGCTGGGGTTTAGCTCGTGTGGCTTCCTTGCTTGAGCTGGATTCTTGGCCCAGTCAGACTTCATTTCTAACACTGTAAGCACTTCATGACAGCATGTGACTGGGATTTCTCTCATAAGCTGATCAATGCAAAGAGGCTTGAACCTAACATTGTTAGTGTTTAAATAAAAGATGGCTTTTTTTTTCTGATGGAGCCAGAAGATGTTTGTCCTTGTCAGAGGTGGAGAAACATACCTTATTACATATAGTCAATCTGTGAATATGCATGTTTTTGGTTTTTGGTTTTTGGCTAACAGGATAGTGCTCTGAATGTACTTCCAGCACCTGGGGTATTAATGAGTGTGTGTAACGTGCTAATAAATGCAAAACAGGTTCCTGCCGATTACAGTTGGGAGACCTATCTGAAATGTTCTGAGAATTTAACTGCAAACGTTTAACTCATGGTCAGTAAGAAGTTTTGTCTCTCACCCAATTAGTTCCCCATCTACCTCCTTCAATGCTCTGGGTGGGCTTGAGATGTTCTGCCATATAACATCAGTCTTCCCAGTATGTAACTGGAAGAAATTTTTGCTTATCCAGCAATAGATCTCAGACAAGCAGGTAGGCAATTTAGGGACAGGGAGAGATAAAGAGAGTTGCTGTTCTGATAGGACTGGATACTGTCAGCATTCATCTGCAACTGATGCTGCGCAACAAACCTACCTGTCACCTGTAAACTGCATGTCCATAATGTGCGGATCTAAATATTGTCTTCATGGAACCCACCACAGTGGTTGTTACAGTGCAAGTCTGTGTCATTGTGCTTAGGAGTAATGGATAAATATGACATGCTGTAGGAGCTGCTTTCTTCCTTTGGCACTGGCTCTGTTACTTGCATGTTAGTGCTATGTTTTACTGCCTTACAGACAGGACCACCTTATTTTCATCATCTTTCAGAGTCTCATTTTTACTTTTATTGAATTACTGTAATCAGAAGGCAGAGAAGTAGAAGACAATGCTACTTGAATAAATTTATTTTTATATTAATATTTTGATTATATAATACTAAATATGTTTTAATATTGTTGTGTTTAAGTCCTCTTATAATTAAGGCAAGTGCATTTGTTTGGCCACTTTGAATCTCATATCATGCTACACCTTTTTCAGAGGTTAGATTTGTTGTAACTTCACATTTACATGATAAAACAGTTAAGTAAAATCCACACGATGTGTTCCCTTGACACAGTAAAATTAAAACACCTATCCAAAAAAAATGATTGAGTTGACATTCTTCTGTATTTCAATCAGGCTGCATATGTACTTCTTTGCCCTAGTTTTAAAAGTCTTGCTTCTTATTTTTCAGCAAAACATCATGTCAATGGAAATAGGACAGTCGACCCATTCCCCGAAGGACTACAGATGGTCATGTTTGGTAAGTTATTTTTGAGTGCAGATTTAAAGTAGTATGTCTTCCAATTAGATAACTCTGTTATAGATTTGAATAGAAAGGGTTCATTTCTCAGGTGTGGCCTGGTACCTTCTTCACAGGTGCTTGTGACAAACTCTCTCTATCTCTCTTGAAATAACTGTTCAGAAACAATGTGCTGATTCCAGAAATGTACTGTATTAAAAAAGTATAACCCTAATAATTGTGGGGAAAAGGAAACAAATTTGCTTATGAAGGTAACAATGAACGTAATTCACATCATTGCTCTTAAACATAAGGCATTTGAAAGACTTTTGGAATTCACTGGTATGATGAAAAATTAAATGAAAATTTTATTTGCAGTAATCCCAGTGCTCGCATGCGACTAAATGGGCAGTATGAAAATGGGCTTATAATTAATTTCTTGTCTGATTTATTGAGCTGCTAACCGTACAATAAGTTTAAACTAACATAGAAAATTTCACACACAAGAATGTAGTCTGAGTCCACAATTCTTTTTTGGCAAGAGCTAATAGCAGATTTCAAATCTCGGTCAGAATGACTTCTGAGTCCAAATACTATGTTAATCTGGAAATGCAGACATGGTGCAAAATTATTCTTGGCCAGGAATTGCTTCTGCAACCTAATTAACAGCAGCAGCAGATGTGGGATGGAGGTGGGACCAAGGCAGGAACCAGCTCGATTTAAATGACAGCCATCGCTGAGGCAGCTGGAGTTCATCCACAAACCTGAAGTGCAGCCTGAGCAGAGGGCAGCGGACAGGGAAGGAACTGATGGTCTATAAATGATCCTATAGGGAAAGTACAGATGAACATCTCAGGTAGATCTAGTTTACTCTGTCAGTAACAAAAGCTTCCATTTATATATTGCCTTTAATGTTGAACAACCTCCTAAACTAAGGCATGTGGAAAATCAGATACTTAGCAATTAGGGCCACTGAGAGGGTCTATATTTTAAATGACAGTCTTTCCTTTATTTTTTCAGATCCTAATATGCTTGCAGCATGTTACTGGAATGTTCTGTATTTATTTTGGTCTGTACTGTATCCTATTTCTCTAGAGAATCTTGGCAATTTGCTATTGCTAGGAATTTTGTATCATTTCTTTTGTCAACATTGAGCCATGATGGGTGTCTTTTGCCTCTGTTACAACGTTGCCAGTTGCCTCCCACTATATTGCTGCCACTTTCTCCATGACGTTGTTCTGATGTGAATTGGGTTCAATGCACCAAAACAAAAGTCCAAATCTTACCCTTGAAAGAGCTGAAAACAAACTTCTTAATGGTTTTAAGTGACTTTGAGTTTGGGTGGGACCCTGTCTGAGCTTCACTCAACGTGCTCTGAAATAGGAGTGTAGCAGTCTCATGCTAGGAAACTGGCATGCTGATCCAGGGTGAGGTAGGGTGGTAGTTTATGCAATCACCCACCCTTGAATCTGCCATGTCTAAAAAATAAAATGCTGCCTGACAGTTCATCACTTGAGTATAACCTCATTACAAAGTAGTAGGATATAGGCTGCCAACAATAGTTATCCATAATTTTAAAAAATGTCTTCAGCACACCAACTTTATTAGTTATACTTTTTTTTACTGCTGTAAAACATCAAACTATATTTTCATGAATGTTGCATATGCCCAACTTAAACTGCACTTTGGAGGCAATTTCCTTTGAATGAATTTTAAACCATGGTCCTGTCAAGAGACAGACACCTAAAGGTGTACAATAATAAGCAAGCTAATCCAGATGAAATTGTTTTATATTCATTGTGAAGAATGGAATAATATTTTGCAGTCCATTTTATACAATATCCAATTTTAGTTCCTGATGCTGTATACTGTCTTCCTGTTTACATTTATATGTAGCTTCACTTAAATTTAGCTGTGAAAGTAAAACAACTGATGGTGGCTCAGAGCATCCATTGTTCTGCCTTCTGTTATTCTCATGCTGGACAGGGATTCTTGGATGGAGCTTGATGAACCACATACACAATGTTACTTAATTTCTTGTCACCTTGAGGCTATTTGTTTATAATTTTTGAAAGTTGAAACAGAACATGAAGCATTTCGAAAAATAATTGGTCTGTAAAAGTGTTGACATGATGTATAACTGTAGAGGTTGATAGCACAGAAGGATGTGGAATAGAAATAACCACAGAATCACAAAATTGTTATGGTGCAGATGGAGCCTGTTCAACCCATTGCACCTGCTCTTCAAATGAGCATCGTTACCTAGTGCCAATCTCCTGCTTTTTCTCATATCCTTGCATATTATCTCTATTCAAATAAACATCCAATTCCCTCTTGGATGCCTGAGTTGATTGATTGATTGACTGATTTTATTGTTACATATACCAAAATACAGTGAAAAGCTTTGTTGATGAGTGGTACAGGCAGTTCACAGTAAGCAAAGGATGTACAGATCAAGAAGACTTAGAAGCATACAGGTTACATTGCAGGTTACATTATTTGAGACTAGAGTCAATTCAACAGTCTGATAGCGGCCGGAAAGAAGCTGTTCCTGAACCTGCTTGTGCATGTGTTCAAGCTTCTGTATCTTCTTCCTGATGGAAGAGGTTGTAGGAGGTCATTACCAGGGTGCGATGGGTCATCATTTCTGCAGCAGCAAGGCATGTAAATGTAGCCCGTGGATGGAAGATTGGCTTCCATGATGGTTTGGGCTGTCACATGACCTTTTGTTGTTTGTTACGGTCCTGGGTTGCTATAACAGACCGTTATGCACCCAGACAGTATGCTTTCAACGGTGCATCTGTAGAAGTTGGTGAGGGACCTTATGGACATGCCAAATTTCCTGATCCACCTGAGGAAGAAATTGCGTTGTTGTGCCTTCTAGACTGTTGCATCTACATGGGAAGTCCAGGACAGGTTGTCGGTTAATTGAACCTGCCTCCACCATGGGAAGTTGTTACATACCCTAAGTATTCATTGCATGAAAATATTTTTCTCACATCATCCTTGCTTCTTTTGCATATCACTTTAAATCTATGTCTTCTCATTTTTGTTCCTTTTATGAGAGGGAACAAATAAACCAAGTTCTTTAAACTGATTTAGGATTTGCTGTTAAGAAAATAAATGAGAAAGATGACAGTTTGTTAGACTTCAATATTTGGTGCCTGATAGCTACCAGAGATGTACCTAAAATCTGACAATAGATACTGGGTGAACTGAAAATGATGCATTAATTGGTAGCATGCCAATGCTGCATTGTAGCAGAATTAGAGTGCTGATCTGAACTCACCGTATGCCCACTGCTTATATCTCTCAGACAAACAAAATTAGTCGTAGGCCTAATACATTTTCACTTTTTGTTGCCCTCAACTGGGTGGGTAGTACAGTTAAGTTGCTCACCTCTGGGAGATATGTAAATAAATAAAAGGGCATAATGTCACAGGCTGCTTTTTGTACATGTTCTGGCAGTGAGCACCACAGTAACATCTGCATGGGAGCAATTTTCTGGCTTTCATGATTAGGAACTTTTCTGTGATGAGGAATGTAACTGAGAGGGAAGAGGAAACCCTTCAAAGTCAGGCATTAAATATTAACCATTAAATCGTGAAGAGTTGCAGCATGCAGAGACGGTTATGGAGCTAATGTATTTGCACAATGTGTGCTTTCATTGAATTTTGAATTCACCAACCCTTTTTATATAATGCCTCAAGCTAGTCTATTACTTTGTGAGTTTCAATGCAATTTCCATCTATATAGTTGGAAATGTAGAAAAAATATCTATTGTATTTGCAGATATAAATAATCTTATTAAGTAAGGCAGTGTTTCCTTTTGGAATTATGTTCAGGTTCAAGTTGTGGTTAATAATCATTCCTGAAAAGACATGTAGCCCATTGTTTAGGAAAATAATTGTTGAGAAATTAAATTGATAATTCCTCTCCAGTGCAAATCTGATTTCAGGATTACTTTCAATACCGGGAATGTTACAGCTGATAGATTCTGTTTTGTTAGACAACTGTCGATATGTTTCTGAAGAAGGGTCCTGACCCGAAACGTCAACTTTCGTGCTCCTCTGATGCTGCCTGGCCTGCTGAGTTCCTCCAGTTCCATACTGTGTTGTCTCTGACTCCAGCATCTGCAGTTCTTGCTATCTCTGTCGATATGTTTCATGGAGTTTTCAAGGTTAGCAGAGCAATAGAGGTAAATAAATTCAGTGAAGTGAGCAGACTGTGATCCAAAACTTGAAATGATGAGGTAGAACATCAGATCGACTGTCTTGTAGTTTGACCATATCATATTCCACCAGGTCCTCTGCTGTTCTGACACTAGGGTCGTCAACTGTCTGGGATTGTTTTGGAGTCTGCATGAATTAAAAACTAAATGCATGCTGTTGTGAATAACACAGGAAAATTTCTTTCAGGCATTAAAGAAAAATTCTTTTTATTGTTTTTACGGCTAAGAAACTAGTATTGAAAGTATTGGAGATTTGGGTGGAGGACCTCTGACCATTTCACTGAATGGGGCAGCTGTAGGCGAGTGTTGAGATGAGGAAACCGCCAAACGTATTCCCAAAAGTATTGATAATCCTTGCTGACCTGACCCACTACTTCAGGATCGTTGTAGGTGACAAAGAAAAACCCAGCATCCTTTTGATCTCTCTCCTTTTTGTTTACACACTTAAATTTCTGACATTTTGTTGTGGATGTTTTGAGTGGGAGTTTGAGACTAGAGATTGAGGGCAATTGGAATGGTCAGAAACAGCTGAAATTATTGTTGCAGGGTACATCAGTAGCAGATGACTTTAGACTGACAGGAGATGGAGGTGAATAGAATCCAAATTGGAAGAAATGCTTCAAAACAGGAAAATGAGGAGAGGATGCAAATGATGCTACAGAGATGGTTTAGAAATTTTTTGGTCATGGTGGATTGCAATTGCTTATTCTTATATCCATGAGAATCATGGAAATACTCAAAAATAAAGGGGTATAATCGCTATAGTGTGAGCGGAGTTTTAATTCACAAA